TCCTTGTCTACATAGACGACCTGGTCTTCGCTACTGCAGTCAGAGACGCACTGGCCTCCGTGAAGGCTGAGCTGTTGAGGAGACACACCTGCACTGACCTAGGAGAGCTGCCCGGCTGCCTTGGCCTGCAGATCTCCCGGGACAGAGCAGCATGCACCATCACTCTTACACAGTCACACTTGGTGCGCCAGGTCCTTCAGAGGTTCGGTCTTCAGTTCTCCTCTGCACAGCCCACACCTCTGCCAGTAGATCACAGGCTCTCGGCTCAAGTCCCTGAGGAGTCTGTTAAGTCTAGCGGTCCTTATGCAGAGCTGGTGGATTGCCTGATGTACCTGATAAACAGCACTCGCCTAGATCTCGCATACCCTCTCAGCATCCTGGCTCGCTTTGTGGCCACTGGCAGGCACCGACCACAGCTTTCGTTGGCCGCTAAGAGGGTTTTGCGTTATCTAGGAAATACATCGGGCATGGGGCTGGTGCTAGGAGGACGCAGGCAAATGGTCCTCACAGGGCACACAGACGTCTCGTGGACGACGACGCTGAGATGCTCAGGTCCCCCCAGGGCTACTTCTTTAACCTTGGTGCAGGCGCCATCTCATGGAGGTCCACCCGCTCGTCGTCTGTTGCACAGTCTAGCTGTGAGGCTGAGATCTACGCTGGTGCCATGGCGGCACAGGACCTCCGCTGGGTGACCTTCTTGCTCACAGACTTAGGTGAGCGGCCTAGCTCGGCCCCGGTCCTATACGCTGACAACAGGGCAATAATCCTCCTGTGTCAGGAGCCTCGACTGGAGGGCAGAGAGAAGCACATCCAGCTGCGGTAATTCCTCCTGCGCGAGCTACAACAGCGCCGCTAGGCCCGCGTAGTACACTTGGCCTCCAGTGCCAACACAGCTGATATCTTTACGAAGGCGCTTGCACCTAAAGATCATCAGCGGCACTGTGTACAGCTTGGTCTAGTCCTTGTAGCTTCTTACTTGCTAGGACCTTGATTCTGTACTTCTCCTTATATTTTCTTGACTGGCCTTGTGGTTCCTGTTCTAGTGGTTGGACTAGTATTGTCGCCCTGGGTTACTCTTGTTTCCTTTATACTCTTGCTGACTGGTCTTCAGACCCTTGTCTCAGAGGTTGGACTAGTAGTGCCACCCTTAGCTGCGTGGTTTGTGCTATTCATTGCCCCTTGTCTAGCTTAGGCGGTGTGTCAACGTATAATTGTATATGTTTTAGGCTTCATAGGTGCTTGCTCATAGAGAGTAAATAAACCTTAGGTTATTTCCCCTTGTATCCTGTATTAATACTCAATTAATTACTCTGAGATCTGGGACTAAGCCGAAATTATTGGGTTTGAGTGTAGGTAGTTGCAGTATGCGTCTCAGGGTCCGTACGCGCTGTGCTCTGAGAACTCAGTATTGGCTAAGTGCAAAGTCTGAAATTCTCAGTACTCAAAATCATATAACTCTGAAGGGTTCAGTCTTCGAAAGTTGGCAAGTCTGGTATATCAGGATCGGCCAAAAAATTGGTCTGAAATTTCAGACAATCAAACTCAAATAGTCTGATAAAATAACCCCTGTTCGAGAGCCCTACTTCGGCCATCCCGGAAATCAGAACTGTAGTGTGTACAGTAGTGGTGACCCTCTTTCAACATCAGAGTAACAGATTGAATAGAATGAGAGGTACAAGGGAGTTTGTTGAAGGGGTTGTACTCTCTATAGGCCTGCACCTATCTAGCCTATAACATATCAATATATGTTTGACACACCCCCTAGGCTAGATAAGGGGCAGTGCCTGGCAAGAGACACGCAGCTCAGGGTTGCACTACTATTCCAACCTCTGAGACAAGGGTCCGAAGACCAGTAAGCAAGAGTACAAACGAAACAGGAGAAACCTCGGGCAGCACTACTAGTCTAGCCACTGGAACAAGGGCCACAAGGCCAGTCAAGTTTATATTAGGAGTAGTACACAATCAAGGCCCTAGCAAGTGAGAAGCTACAAAAACGAGACCAAGCTGTACACAGTGCCGCTGATGAACTTTAGGTGTAGATCTCAGCCTCATAGCTAGACTGGGCCACAGACGACGAGCGAGTGGACCTCCACGAGATGGCACCTGAACCAAGGCTAAAGCAATAGCCCTGGGAGGACCTGAGCGTCTCAGCGTCGTCTGCCCACGAAGCGTCTGTGTAAGGACCACTGGCATGTGTCCTCCTAGCACTAGCCCCATGCCCGATGTACTTGCTAGATAATGCAAAACCCTCTTACTGACCGACCAGTGCTGCGGTTAATGTCGGTCTGTAGCCACAAAGCGAGCCAGGATGCTAAGAGGGTATGCAAGATCTGGACGAGTGCAAGTCATCAGGTACATGAGGCAACCCAACAGATCTGCGTATGGGCCACTAGGCTCTATTGAATCCTCAGAGATTGGAGCCGAGAGCCTATGATCTAATGGCAGCGGTGTGGGCTGTGGAGAGGAGAACTGAGGACCGAACCTCTGAAGGACCTGGCGCACCAAGTGTGACTGTGTGAGAGTGATGGTGCACGCTGCTCTGTCCCTGGAGATCTGCAGGCCAAGGTAGCAGTGCAGCTCTCCTTGGTCATTATAGGACGGGGTCTGCAGCAGACGGGAAGAACCGCAGGTCAGCTAACGTAGCACGAAGAGTGTCATGCCACTCTCAAGGCACCTGCCGCCTGCCGTAAACCGGGCGCCGGAGGAGCCACAGGGTCCTTGGGATGAAGGTGCTGGTAAAGCCTGGCGGGCAGCACAGGTAGACCTGCTCGTGAAGACTTCCCTGAAGAAACATTGTCGAGAAGTTGAGAGAGTGCGGCTCGTAGTCACGCTGCGTTGCTACATGTAGTAGTGCCCGAAGAGTGGTCATCTTCGGGATCCGGGCGAAGGTCTGAAAGAAGTCAACCCCCTCGCTCTGGCTGAAGCCTCTAGCAACGTAGCGCGCCTTGAATACCGGTGACTCTCCAGGAGGCCGCTTCACCTTGAAGAGCCACCGGCCATCCACTACGTTCACCCCATGTGGGGAAACTGCGTCGAAGTAGGTACCGGTGGATCTCCAAGATGCCATCTCTACGTCCATGGCAGCTATCCACTGAGTGGCCCTGTGTCCCAAAGTCGCCTCAGCGTAAGTGCGAGGGGTCAGGATGTCAAGGGCGTCTGGGTCTCTCGGATAGGAAAGCAAGCTCGTATTGCCGATCCTCCAGGATGTCATTGCCAAGGGCAGGAGCACCCCCGATGGATCAAGGACAGGCAGGGTCGGAGACCAGAGCGGTGGCGTGGTCAAGGTGCGGGAAGAGGCAAAGTCAGCGACGGAAGCGACAAGAGCGTCAAGACTGGAGACAGGAACAGACGGGTCGGTAACAAGAGAGGCGAGGACCCAAGGAACTAGAGGACTAGCCGCACGGAGGAAGTCAGTCAAGGGAGGTGGAGCAACAACCAACGAGGACGGAGGAGGCGACGAGAGGAGGGGAGGATGAGATGCGTGGGAACAAAGCAACATAGGGTGAGAGCACTAGACAGGAGAGACAGGATGAGTACGAGAGGGACGGCAAGACCAGAAGTGGGACAGAGACGTGGGGTCAGGAGACACAGGATGAGACACAGGAGGACAACGCTGTGGGAAACGAGCCGGAGACGAGTCTGACGGAGGACACATAGGACCGTAGATAGGTGGGGGAGACGCAGGCGGGCGGTCAGGGGAGGGAAGACCAAGAAGGCGAAGGGCAGATACGGGCGGTGACTGCTGTTGCTGCTCCACGCCAACACCAGAACTTCAAGCTGCACCACGGCTACCTCCGGGACGCTCCACGAGAGCACCCCCAGAACGAGAACCCTCTCCTGCACCGGTGCCACCCCCAGGACTGCCAGGACAAGCCATGATAGTACCCCCAGTACTAGCACCCCCAAAACCAGCACCCCCAGAGCGAGAACCCTCTTCAGCACCGGTGCCACCCCCAGGACTGCCGAAACAATCAACGATAGTACCCCTAGGACTAGCACCCTCCTCAACGCCCGCACCCCCAGAGCTCGCAGACCCGTGCGGCGGCTTGGGCTGCAGCAGCGATGACGGCGGCTGCGGCTGTGACGACTGCTGAGGCGGCGACGTTGGCTGCTGCGGCGGCGACTGTGGCTGCTGCAGCGGCGGCGGAGGAGAAGACACCGGGGCGGAGACAAGCGGTGACACCGAAGCCACAGGACCCCTGGAGTCAGCCGACTCCTCGACAGGGACAACCGACGGGAGGGGAGTGACGTGAGACACACCACACGGGGCAAGACAGGGAGGAAGAGGAGTAGGGGCGACCGGGGGGGTGGGGACCGGGAAGAGGGGTGGGGAAACCGGGAGACCTCGGTGGGGAAAGCAGGTGTAGAAGGAAACAAACTCGTCAAAAGTGACGTCACAGGAGTGAAAGAAACGGTGAGACGGCGGGTGGTAAAACTGCCAGTCAGACGCGTCGAGGGGGAAACCAAGGAAGACACAAGGGACGGTGCGGGCAGTGAGCTTGTCCGTGCGAGACGCATGACGTGAGCAAGGCAGACCCAGACGTGGAATGCAGACGCGTCCCCAGGGAACCCGGCCCAAAGAAGAGTCGGCGAAACTTGTGGCCGCCGGGAGTGTGGCCACATGTTTTGTTGGTGAGCGGTGTAGCAAACAGCAAACGGCTACAGAAAATGGGGTGCACCGGCATGGATCATGGAGATACGAGCCACCTCTATGACCAAACCGATGTGTCGCTCAGTGACCCCATTCTGCTGCGGGGATTCTGGCAAGGTGTACGACTGGGTGATGCCCTCCGCACAATAGAACTGGCCAAGCCGACCGAAGGCAAACTCGCCGCCACGGTCAGAATGGAGACGCAGCACGGGAAGGCCACGGTGGACTCGCACAACTACAGTACGACCCACGAGATAAGAACGTCAGGCACGTCAGCCTTCCGCTCCAGGGGAAACACCGTGCTGTAGCACCTGAAGTCGTCGACAAGCACTAAAAAGTAGCGCTCTAGACACGACCCAGGAATGGGGGCGGGACTCCAAACGTCCAGGTTCAGGGTCCGGAGTGGCGCAGTGGTAGGGAGGAGCGAGGAGTGGGGAGCACGACGTAGCCAGCTCTCAACGCAGGGTGAGGAGGAGGAGGAGGAGGAGGAGGAGGAGGAGGAGGAGGAGGAGGAGGAGGAGGAGGAGGAGGAGGAGGAGGAGGAGGAGGAGGAGGAGGAGGGGGAGGAGGAGGAGGAGGAGGAGGAGGATGAGGAGGAGGAGGAGGAGAAGGAGGAGGAGGAGGAGGAGGAGGAGGAGGAGGAGGAGGAGGAGGAGGAGGAGGAGGAGGAGGAGGAGGAGGAGGAGGAGGAGGAGGAGGAGGAGGAGGACGACGACGACGACGACGACGACGACGACGACGACGACGACGACGACGACGACGACGACGACGACGACGACGACGACGACGACGACGACGACGACGACGACGACGATGACGACGACAACGACGACGATGACGACGAGGACAAGGAGGAGGAGGAGTGGCGTGCACGGTGGTGCAGGGAAGGGAGGGAGGGCAGGGAGCAAGGCAGGGAGACCACGGACAAGCCCGTGATGGGACATGTGATGCAGACGTGGGAGTGGGGGGTGAACTAGGCGGTGGTGCCACAGCAGTGAAGGGGTGGGTGAGCGACCAACTCGAGAAGGCTGCAGTTTTCTGAGAGGACGCGGCGACCAGGGGGGACGCTCCCACCGGGGGGGGCGCAATGTCCAGCGTGAGCCAGACAAGGTGTCCCTAGGGAACGTGGTAAGAGGGGCACCAACAGCGGCCTCGGTACAAACAGCGTACCGCTCGTGTCCAGGGAACGTAGTGGTGATGCCAAGGTCCTGAAGACATCCGACACCAACTAGGTTCCTAGAGGACGAGGGGATGTGCAAGCCTGTAAGAGAGCCCGATGGGACCGCCAGACAGGGAAGGGTAGTGGAGCTACGTGCGACTATCGGACCTGAGTAGGGGTCAGCAAGTGCTACAGTGGCAGGGGCAGCCTAACGGGCTACGGGCGACGGGTGGCCAGCGGGCTATGGGCGATGGGCGGCTAGCGAGCTACAGGCGAAGGGCGGCCGGTGGGCTACGGGGGACAAGAGGCCAGCGGGCTACGGCTTGGACTAGGGCGTAAGCGCGGGTGGGCGGGATCCTCACCTACTAGCGTGATACCATCTTAGAGTAACATATTGAATAGAATGAGAGGTACAAGGGAGTTTTTGTCAAATTATATATTCATATATATATTTGTGTAGACTTGGTAGGTGTGCTACATTACTAGATCCTACTGTAGAGGGGACAACCCCCCTCTTCTTGTATCTGTTCCTCTTCTAGTCCAACCTTCTTTTCTCTAGTAACTCTTCCCCCCTAGCTAAAACTCTCGACATTCACATATGCCTAGATAGTTCCTAGGCTTATCTCTTTTCGACATGGTACCAGAGCAGGCCCATCCTACCTGTCATCACGCTTCCACAGCATCCTCTCGCCCCTCCCATCACGTACGCGCCACTATGGCGGCCGTGTCGTGCTGCCTCGGCGGCCTTTATGCGTTGCTGTGGCAGCCCCAACGAGCTGCCGTGGCATCGACGCCACGCCATGGCGGCATCGTCGTGCTGCCGTGGCGGCTTCGATGAGCCAGCGCACGGACGGCAGCGGCCAGCGCCCAGTTTTAGTGCCGTCTTGCTCGCCCGCACGCCAGGAAGTGCCGTGCAAGCCATGGCGCCTCGCTGAAGATTCCCTCCCCCCCCCCCCCCTTCCCCTCCTCTACCTTTCCCCTCCTTCCCGCCACAGCTACTGGCGGCCTCGTGCCTTCCCCCCCCCCCTCGTCGTCGCAGTCTGAGGCACGCTGCCGGGTGCCTCGGGCGCCGCCGCTGCCGCCGCCGGGTGCCTCGATTCCGCCGCCGCCGCCGCAGGTGCTGCAGGCCCTGCCGTCGCCGCCGTCGCAGTCGCCGACGCCGCCGCCGCTGCCGCAGTCGCCGACACCGCCGCCGCCGCTGCGACCCCCCGTCGACGTAGCCACCTCGATTGCCCAGGGGTCGACCGGCTAGTCGACGCCACAGCTGCTGCAGGGCATGGGAGTGCAAGGATGTGGGGGTGCTGCGTGTGGGGTGGGCTTGCCACTACCAAGCCTAGGAGGTGTGTCAAACTATATATTTATATATATATTTGTGTAGGCTTGATAGATGTGCTACATTACTCGATCCTACTGTAAATGGTACAACCCCCCCCCTTCTTGTATCTCTTCCTCTTCTAGTCCAACCTTCTTTTCTCTCGTAACTCTTCCCCCCTAGCTAAACTTCTCGACATTCTCCTATGCCTAGATAGTTCCTAGGCTTATCTCCTTTCGACATTTTTGTCTTAGGGGTTGTACTCTCTATAGGCCTGCACCTATCTAGCCTATAGAGAGTACAACCCCTAAGTTGTTTGATATGATGTCCCATCTGTGCTACATCGGACATCCTCTAACAGACATACTTAGGGCCTTAGATTCATTTTGGGGCACGCTGATCGCTTTTGGTCCCCCCCTCGTAGCTCCCTGTTTTTTCAGGCCATGCAAAAAAAATTACGTTGATCAATCAGGGTGTTGTATAAAATTTGCGCTGAGTAAACAAAGTCAACTACAGAAAATACGCTGTTTAAAACCCGACGGCAAAATAGCAGAGGGGGGCCCCTCTTGATTGTTGAGTGGGTGTAAAAAACTAAGTCCCAAAACCTGGCGAAAAAACGAAACGTCCCAGTGCTCCGAAATTTGTAACTGTCCGAAAACACAAGAGGATTGCACAAATCCTATTGGTTGCGTGAGTGTTTTAGCCAATGTGGGCTCGAGGCGAAAAAATCTTGACAGCCTGGCGCGTCGTGCAGCCCCCCTGCGACGTTTGTCGCAGGCCACGTGGGCCTCGGCTTTTTGTGCAGGGGGGTTCAAGAGGGACCCCCCTCTGCTATTCCTGTTTTTCGTGCATTCCCTGGGCGAAAATCAAATGGGGCCCCACTTGATGACCAAGTGGGGCCCGTTTTGACGTGGCAAAATCGCGGGCCACGTCATGCATCCCACAATGAGCGACGTGAAACGAAATTCGTAAGGTACGGTGTCGCGTCAAAATGCCACTTGGGTTTTGTTCTGAGTATCGAACAGTGCGGGCTGCTTGTTAAAAAAACTAGGTAGGAGGAGCCATGGAAGTGGCATGAGGGTTTGGCTAGGAGGAAAATGTCGAGAGAAAAGGGGTTGAGATTAGAAGAGAGAGGGATACAAGGAGGGAGTTGTACCTTCTACTGTAGGTTCCAGTAACACCTACCAAGCCTACAATTATATATAGCATATAATTTTAACACACCCCCTAGGCTTGGTAGTCACAAGCCCACCCCCACATGCAACACCCCTAAGCCTAGTACCCCCATACCCTATAGCAGAGGTGACTGCTGGGAAGGAAGGCGCTGGGCATCTTTGAGCTGCGGCGGGGCGGAGCCGGGTGGCGTTGCGAGCTGGGACCGATGCTGCGAGCTGGGACCGACGCTGCGAGCTGGGACCGACGCAGCGAGCTGGGTCCGCGGGGACCGACGCGGCGATCTGGGTCCGACGCAGCGAGCTAGGTCCGACGCGGCGAGCAGGGCCCGACACGACGAGCTGAGGAGGCGCAGCGAGCTGGAGTGCGGGCTTGCTGCCTGGTGCCTAAACCAGTGCGCGGCCCACTGCCACCCGTGCGCTGACGTCGACGACGCCGTCACGCCGCCACGGCTCGATGTCAACGACGCCGCCATGGCTTGGCGTCGACGCTACGACGGCACGACGCCATGGCAACGCGTCGCGACGGCCACAGCAAGGCTGCCACGGCAGCACGACAAAGCTGCCATGGCAGCACGACACGGCCGCCACGTCGGCGCGGAAGTAACTAGAAGAGGGGGGGGGGTACGCGGCGGAAGCGTGAGGAGGCGGCCCAGCAGGGCGGACCTCCGGCTCTGAAACCATGTTAAAACAGCAAGGTAGGAGGAGGAGCCATGGAAGTGGCATGAGGGTTTGGCTAGGAGGAAAATGTCGAGAGAAAAGGGGTTGAGATTAGTAGAGAGAGGGATACAAGGAGGGAGTTGTACCCTCTACAGTAGGTTCCAGTAACACATACCTAGCCTATAATTATATATAAGATATAATTTTAACACTGTTGCCCAGCTCCGAATTTTAACACTGCTGATCAAGAGGGGTCCCAACTTGATAACCCTATCAAATTATATATTTTTATATATATTCCCGTAATCACCCGGATAGATGCCCCTCCATAGGACTAGTCCCATGGGCTCTAACTCGTGCATTGGGACTTATAAGCATTATTCGATTATAGGCCCCCCTTAATTTCTCTAAACCTGTTTCCTATAAGCCCCCCCGTAATTTGTCTTGAAACACTACGCAAAAAGTTGAAGTGGATCCAGGTAATACCGAGGTTTCTGGCTTCGTGCCCGCCATAAGCGGAACTCACCCTCCCTGACACTTCGCGCCAGCACGATTTGTGTCAGAACGGTGTGTTTCCAGCCTGACAACTTGCCGACTGGACTTCCAGTGCGATTGACTCATGAAGCCTCGCTAAAATTAATCTCGTTGCACAAATCAGACAAGTACGGTAGCTATATTTTAATGTCAAATTTAAATTTTCCATATAATCCCTTTAATACGCCCATGGGCGTATATCTTTTATTCAATTAAACGCCCCCCCCCCACGTTTTCAAACCAGTCTCGTAAACGCCCCTATGGGCGTCTATCTGGGTGATTATCGAACTCTACTGTAGAGGGTACAATCCCCTCCTTTTATCCCTCTCTCTTTCTAGTCTGACTCTCTTTTCTCTCGTCAACTTTCTCCTTCCTAAACCTCACGCCATTCCATGGCTTCCTTGCTACCTAGCTTTGTTTAACAAACCCCCCTTGCTATTTTGCCGTCGGGTTCCTGAATAGATTCCCATTATTTGTTACAGGTTCCTGATTACAGTCTTGGTCGGTCACAGTCAAGCTGGCGTGATTGACAGGGAGGGTGGGGGGGGGGGGGAATTCGGAAATAACAGGTGGGGGGGGTTGGGGCTCGGAATCCGCTATTACACGTAGTATCAGGGCAGGCCCCCAAATTGGTTTTGGGCCTGTCTGATTCGTCAGAGTCCACTGCCTTCCCTTGGTATGGGTGTCAGAGTTACCTCCTTGAAAAAGTCTGAAAAATCATAGTAGCCATTGATTTTTTGTCTGACCAATCAGAGTCATAGCCAAACTTTTGTATGAGCGTTTTTTATGCTTCTTCATTAGAGAATGCACTACATTTCAATACATACACGGAATCAGTCAATATCCTGCATATCCTGTTGAGGCGCTGCCGGCATATCATTATCTACTTTCTCCTTTCCCTTCCTGCTGCTAATAGCCTCGGGCAGGGCGTTGCTAAGGGGCTTCCTCTTCTTATAAGCCCGCCAGATGGTGACCACCTCTTCCCAGTCGGGGTCATACTCTAGCTGCGACATGCACAACAGATCTCCTAGCCTAGTATCCTTGAGAGCCCCCCGCAGCCAACTCTTGATGACGTTCTGGCGGGACCCGCGCTCGCACTCGATAGTGCTCAACGGAAGGACAGCCACCGCCACCCACAGATTGACCAGGTTGGGGTAGCTGTCCCTCCAGTCCTGCGTCTTGAGCATGGCCCTCAGCCCCGCGTGGAATGACTTGTCCGCCTTGGGAAGCGCAGCAAGGACGGGGACGAAGTTGCGGAGCTCGCTCTGGGCTTTGCGCTTGTCTATACCTGCTCAGACAAGGGCACACAAGGAGAGGGAGAAGGGTTGGGTTATCGGAAACAGTACACAGGGTTTAGGAAAAGATATGTGTCTTGTTTTAGATACATTGCCAAAGGGATACTGAAAGGAGTAGATGGTGATTCACCGGGCAGAATCTCGTCCCTGTCTTCAGCGTGGTAGATGACCACGAGCGAATTGAACCACTCGAGGCATTGCGGCCTCCGTGCCTGTCGGACCCAGTTGGGCGGCCATTTGTCGGCGCTGAACAAGCGCGCTCCCGACAGCTGCCGCTGATCGCCTAGGCGCTCGTCGAGGTTGCGGACCAGGCCCTCCGCTAGAGCCATGCACGCCACGACACTCCCATCGTGGTCGCTGGGCCCTGGGTAGTCCTCTTGGGGCTCTTCGTGCAGCTCGAAGGTGAACCGTGAAGGTCGGCCATCGGAGTCAATCCCCTCCACTGTCACCAGCTTGGACTTGCCGGGCCCGTGCTTGGCAAGGAACCGCGTCAATCAATCGTTGGGCCCGCCGGTGAAGTCGTCTCCGCAGTCCACGTAGCGGCTCTCTAGCAGTGAGGTCGTGCGGATGATCTGCGCGTGCACCGTTGTGTAATCCAGCTGGTGGGTAGCGAGGCGAGGAGAGGTAGGGCATCACAGACTGATGTGTGATTAAGGGACGAGCGGCAGAGACAAGCAATATCGACATGCATGCAAACACAAGCATTTAACATATTTACCTCCCGCTGCTGGAAGACCTTGTTGAGGACGTTCAGCAGCTCCAGCATGTTGGCAAGGAACATCAGGAGGAGCCAGAAGCGGTAACTGGTGACGAGCACGTACAGCTTGGCATCGTACTCCTGCAGCATGACCACGATGGCTGGTAGGACCTCGACCAGGTGGATGACCGCATCTCCGCGCGACAGCCAGCGGATGTTGTGGATGCCCTAGAGCTCGAGGTTTGTCGACATGAACACCTCCTAGAAATCTAGGAACTGTTGATGCCAAGGGTTGGAGCGACCGAGCAGCTCAGCGATCTCGCGAATGATCTTGTCCACCATGCTGAAGACAGGGATCTCCTCGGCAGCAGCCTTTGCCGCCAGCGCCTCTCTGCAATGGGATAAGGAGATGAGATGCAAACTAGGAAGCAAATTACAGATTGGAATTATAAACAAAACAAGAAGCAAATATACATGACATGCACACAGCAAACGGATGACGAAGCGATGGGCAATGCAATGGCAAGAGACAAGGTGTGGAACGCGAAGACGAAGGCGGGCCACAAGTCCAGAGCGCGATCCCATCATGACGGCAGCGCCGTCAGTGCTTATGCCAGAGATGCGGCCGAGGTCGACGCCAATCGCCTGCAAATGGGACAACAAGAGGGCGAGAAGCGATGCCGCATCCACCTTCTCCACTTCAAACGAAGCCA